CAAGGGTTTTATTCCAAGGTACCGTGGCAATAGGCTTCCCATTCTATTCCATATTGCCCAGAAGTTATTCACTAGGAAAAGTTTATCACAAAGCTTTTGAAGGGAAATTTAAGTTGCAAAACCACATGTCAAGCCATGGAACATTCCTACATCAGTGAGTATGGTAGAATTCAATTGCAGGTCCTTGGACTGATCGGGAAATTAATCTCTTTGCCTTGAATGACCAGGTTTTATGTCGACAAATCTACTGATTTAAGCCAGTAAGAAGAAAGTCTGTACAAGAACAAGTCCTTTTTGAGGCAGGATATAGCTCTGAACATTTTGAAAACATTTCCATCAAAATCAGCCAAAAAATAAGTTGGTGCCGACTAAAAAACTTATTTTGGGGGATTGGGGGAGTATCTCAGTTTTTGTAACATTTTTATTCTGTACACTATTAAGTTGATTTGGGTGTTGATTTATATGTTTTTAAGGGCTAGGAATCCAATAAAAGAGCTTCTATTCACTTTAGTGTACAACTTATATTTGAAATGATTTATTTTCTATGTTTTTTAAAATAGTTTTTACCCTACTAGGAGATAACATGAATATACGGAAATTCATGGACTTGAAATACTTTACTGAATTTTTCCACAACACTATACACAAATGACTCTCATTTGAATCTAGAATTTATAACTCAACAAATATATAAATCAACACCAAAATTAACTTAATAGTGTACAGAATAAAAATGTTACAAAAACTGGGATACTCCCCAATCCCCCAAAATCAGTTTTTTAGGCGGCACCAACTTATTTTTTGGCTGATTTTGATGGAAATGGTCTTAAAACGCTCAGAGCTATTCTGCTTCAAATAGGCGAGATCCCTAAAGTTGGAGAAACATCACCATGTTATAGCCTATCTCAGTACATGCGCATTACAAACTCTATAAAAACGGGTAAAATGCCAGATTTTAAATTCTACCTAACCATGAAGGGGAAGAGACACCAACATTAGTTTAGACTAGCATTAGCAAATGATAAAGTTTTATGTTGGTGGGTAAATGCCATCAAGGTCATAGGTCACCCAGAATGATGACAATTTTTGTATATTTTTAGAGCCTTCCCAAAATTGTATTAAATGCGATGAGTAAAAGGTTTCTCCACAAACATCTCCAAAACGACTTGGAATTTTCTTTTTTTGCATGTGTTATATAGATAGTTAAATCTTAAAAAAAAAAAAAAAAATCAGCAAAATCCAAGAGGTGACCTGTCCCAATTTTCAGAAAATTTTGATTTGACACGAGTTCATATGGTCAACTTCCTATGCCATTATTGTGCACACTTGTACAATAAATTTTACGTGTACGCGTACATCAACATTTTTAAAAGCTTAAAATTACTTCAATTTAGAGCACGTTTCGGGTTATTTTTAGCATTTCAAAATTGAAATATCTTCCACTATATATTTAGACTGTATATAATTATAATACTTGAGACTGCTTGGGTTATACTGTACTTTATTCAATAGAGTTATCACACCAGAAGTGAAGTTATATACAATCAACAAGGGTTGGAATTTAGTTAAGTGCCTACTATGTCCCATGGGTTGTCAAGTTGATATTATGGATGGATTTGTTTACAGGTCCTAAATGACCACTATGGGTCCTGTTGGTCTATATACCAATTCCAGTGATAAGGGTTTATTAGGATTGATCAAACTACTTTGAAAGTTGTTTGATTCAAGTAGTACCGTTTCCAATAATAATAATAATGTTTCCACTGAATGTAAGTTTTTTTAAATTCAGTTGGTAATTTGAAAAATAATAATAATAATTAGGCTGGTGTGTACACTGTGGCAAGGTTAATTTTAAACCGTAGTTTTAACATAATAAGTATACTTTATTATAGCTGCATATGTGAAAAATGTGATGATATGAGGAGTGTGTGTGTTGCCTGAAATTTGGACAAATCCTGATTAAAAAAGAAGCAGATGAAGAAATAAGAGGCCATATTCAGTGCATTACTGAACACCCAGGCTTTAATGTGATTTGCTTAGATAATGGGCCCTGCAAATGATGTACGAGAATACACCAAAAGAGTGCTATTTCTTTTCTAAAGCAATGCCTTACTGTCTTACTCTAGACATTATAGCCTGGTTCAAGTCGAAGTTAAGTCACTTATCTAAATCTTGAAATATGATACGTTTTTCCCTAGTTGCGTTCGATGCCAAGTTAGAGCCAGATAAACAGCCAGCCAGCTCCAAGGCAGTCGACGTCACACGGTGAAAAGGCTTGTTAAAACGTCTACTGTATTTTACGAGCCTCTAGTACCAAGGGGTATTCATTAATAAAAAAACTGACAAATTCGTAAACTACAGTACTGTAGATCAGGTGTCAATTTCCACTACCTAGCTAAATTTACCTTCAATAAAAAACAAATTATTTTAATTGCCAGCATTCTCCCTTTTAACAAAATATGTTTTAATTCTCATTAAAACGTCTGTATACTTTATGGACCGTTCTGTCTGTTTATGTAATTTTTAGATCGATCAACTGTGTTGTTTACATGCACTTCGCGAAAATCTAGCTTCGCTGTGTCAAATAAGTTGCTGACTTCAACACACTTTTTTTATTTCGTCATCGCTCATTTTAACGACTGGCGTTAATTGAATTGTCAATAAATAAATACAACAAATCCGATTTTATTATTAAGAACCAGAACCCTGCGGGTGTGTACGTTCTTTTGTACGTAAACGTAGTTTAGAGGGATTTGTAGTCCAGTAATGGTTTCTAATGTGTTTACGTACACCTACACCCCCATACAGGTCCGTCCATCAAATGCTGTATATTTACATACCTGCCAACATTCGAATATCAAAAATAGGGACGCTATTCATTGGTGACAAAAAATTAAGATGGCAATTATATTCTAATTCCTGTACAGTTGCTTCTAACAAAACAAGAGTTACTTAATTTCAAGTGTACTGTTTATTTACCTCACAACCAAGAAAAAATATTTAAGTTACATTTTAATCAGTAGGCTTACAGACTTCACCATGAAGGGCACGGTATGTTGCTTGTTTCGCTGGATCTCATTGGAGTCATAACGTCAATATTTATTCAAATGGCACTTATAATCTCTGTTCAACATGTCCAGCTTGTGTGTCATTAAAGCACTTTAAGTTTTTGTTGTCATGCTAAACTTACAGATGAGCCTACAGCTAAGAGAATACGATGCAAGCTGTGGAATGACACATCAACAATGATTATGCCAGAACACAAAGGGCACAGTGTAACACTAACAAATGTTCAAGTTGAGATATACAAGGACCAAACACAGCTAAAGTCCACTGAATTAACAACCATCTCTGTAAGTACTGGATTTATTTACCTGCTTATCACTAACATACCTAAATTACGTATAACATCTCATTAAACAATGAGGAGGGGTGGCTGATTCCCCTTGAATCTGTTTAAATTGAAGATAGTTTGCCACAAAAATACATCAAAGCTATTTCATGATTGATAAGGCTGGTATTGAATATATAAGATGTTTAACACAAATTTGTAAGGCAAGAAATGTAGTGGAATAATGAGTCTGAAGTTTGTTCTTCCAAAATTATTGTAGAACCCTGCGGACCACTTTGAATTGGTGGACTCTGAATTATTTTGCGCGAAAACAACACAGACAACTTCTTGGCAGATTTGCCACTGTTTTGAACTTGACTGGTCAAACCACAGAACCAAAGTTGGCGGTTTAAGTCAAACTTATTTATCATCTACTAATATTCTTCATTGTTTGACATACCTCCATGGTTTGACAATAACAAATTTTCTTTCGTTCTTTAAAATCTGCTTAGTGACAAGCATGCGCAATAAGTAGAATAGTTATCACAATAACTACAACCACTGCTCTGCATACTGCATGTCACGCATGCGCTGTATGGTGGTAGATAAAACGTGCCTCGGCCAATGATTTATTTTCAAGTTTGCTGAGAGTTAACAATACGGAGTTTAAGTTTTTGTTGTCATGCTAGCTCGAAGCTTGGTTTTGTTTTTTCAACAATAGAGAAAACTTTATCAGTCACTACTGTAGGTACCGATGCTGACTGTTTTAGTTCTGCATCAAGCATCCATATTAGAAAAAATCGGATTAAATCGTTTATTGGTTGCATTCGCTAACCTTTGAACTTATTTACAAAGTAAACAGGTCAAAGTTTATTTGTGCTTTCGAAAAATATTTTTTCATTGATCGGTCGCGAAGTTTTTCTTTCGAAATAAAGCGTCATTTACACATATTATGTAAGTACTGTAAATTTTAAAAACCATCCTGTAATTTTAAGAATTATATATTTAATATATGTGCCAAGTATGAATTAGATCTATGGCGTCTCAACATTTTTTTTTATTTTCTCAAATCGTACGACTCCCGAGTCCGATGCATAAAAATGTCCGCTGATCGAAAGAACTCGTACGTAATTCTGTATATTGGAAGATAATTCAAACGTCATATTTGTTATTAAATTTACACATAAAGTCAGTATTACTGATGAATATGTCAAATATAATCATTGATTAGTATTATATTATAGACAATTTTTAAAGATTTCGATTTATTAGAATGATATTTTGCGATTAATATACCCGACTAAAATTGAGAATTACCGTCACGAAATTGCATATGGCGTCTTACTAGGTAATTCTGGGCTATAATTGGTCTGTATAGATCACGTGACATAGAATTTGAAATTTGATTGGATGATGTGTTGTTGATAGGAATATAGAGCATAAACATCGTGGTGTTGCATAGGCCTATAGTAATAGTTTTTAAACGATTTAAAATAATCATACCCCTGTATTAATAATAAATTAGTAAAAAAATGCATTTATAGAGTCTATTATTTAGTAAAAATTATTAGATCAAATTAATAAACAGTACCTAATAATTTTTTTTTTTCTTTCAGCTAACATTTTTTGTATACTAATTATACAGATTTCAAAGAAACAATACAGTAGCATTAACTTTTGACTGGTAAGATCATTTTTTAGTAATAATCATATTTCATTTTGAAATTCATATTTCTATATGTGACATTCATGCTTTTTTTTTTTTGAAAAAATATTTAAAAATTAACGTTAAAATTTATTATTTTTACAGATAATGTCAGGATCACGTTGAAAGAAGCGCCCACCATCCACAGAAAAGTCAGGACAATGTTTTCTTTTTTTTCAAGAGACATTTGGTACCACCCCTGAAGAGCTAACTGATCTGAAAAACGGGCATGTGCTATGGCTGTACCTAGACCACAACAAATCCAAAACTGCTGTTTCGCAAATGTTATAAACTAAATATAACATCATTGTGTCTGTAAACCACATACAATTATTGATTAATCAATCAATCAACAAATATTGGAAGAACTTTCACAGAGAAGAAAATGCTAAGAAGCTGACTGATGTGTGAAGAGAGATTTCGCCAATTCAAACAATGCGAAACTGATGCTGGTGGAAGTACATCAAGTGCAAGCCTACAGCCAGAACCACCTTCAACTCCACCGCACAACCACAACTGCCAATAGATATTTCAACACCAGTTCGAGGCCCCATACCTCAATTACCAATGTCAGTTGGCATGCGGTCGCTAAAGCGACGGAGTGTTAAGTTAACACCAAGGAAATTAGAATTACAAAGCAGGAACGACAAACTGAGACAAAGAAACAAAGACCTAATTGAAAGGTTGCAAAAAACTAAACCCAAAAAGACATTTGCTAGTGCAAAACAAGTAAAAAACAAATACTTGCAGCAAGAAATAAAAAGACTGAAATCAAGGTTGGAGAAAGAAAAAGAAAAAGTTAAAGGGAGAGAAATGAGGCAGACAGTGATTCAGAGAGAAAAAAGTCTCAGAAGACTATTGAATTACTATAAAAAGAAGGCGCAAAATGTTGCAAGCCAGGACATGTATGATAAACTCCTAAAGGAAAATGAGGAATTAAAAAAACAGTTACATGAAAAAGATCAAAAGCTTTGCGAACAAGAGAACAACATCATGCTGTTGCAAGAAAAGTTATCAGAGACAGCAATGCAGGGACAGGAAACTGTTTGGGATTGCAAACATGGCAGTTCCTTCAATTTTGAAACAAGAGAGCTGGTATTCAACATGATAGATTTAGGTGTACCGACAAAGAATGTAGAAGATCTTGTGATAAAATCTGGATGTACATTCGGATACAGTGTGAGTAATCCACCAAAACACAGTTCAGTAGAAAACATGGCGAGAGAACTTGGCGCTATATCTGATTATCAATCAGCAAAGTTCATGCTGGAATCTGAACAGCTGTCGCTAGGAATCGATGCCACCACACGGGAAGGCATTCACGTTAATGGCGTGTATGTCAGTTCAAAAGATGACAGCAATGTCATTGCCTTTGATGAATTAGCAGGTGGGACCCCTGTAGATTATCAAGTGCAGATAGACGAAAGCATTACCAATATGGCAAAAGTGTACTGCCAAGTACATGATAAATCTCCTACTGAAGTTCATTCTCAATTGATAAGTAAAATCACATCAACAATGAGTGACCGTGCGGCTGTAAACCATGCCACCATTCAGTTACTCGAGAAAAAATGGAAGACAAAACTGACTGAGTTGAATTGTCACCTCCACCCTCTGGAATCAATCGCCTGTAGTACAGCCTTATCAAACATTGAAAAACAAACAGGAAACCAGCAAAAGGACCTCCACAGCAAAGCTTACAAAGCTTTTGAATGGAAATTTAAGCTGCAAAACCACATGTCAAGCTATGGAACGTTCCTACATCAGTGAGTATGGAAGAATTGAATTGCAGGTCATTGGACTGATCGGGAAATTAATCTCTTCACCTTGGATGTCCAGATTTTATGTCAACAAATCTACTGATTTAAGCCACTTAGAAGCCTACGCCATCATAAAGTCTGTACAAGAACAGGTCCAGAAGTTTGCAGAAAATCCTGCTTTAACATTATCAACCACATTTAATTGCTCTGGAGATGCATTACACGATGATGTCAAGCCCCTTCAAATGCCACCAAGAAATGAAAAACATTCCTAGCAATGATGGGAAAATGTATGTCTGTTACACACAAAGTAATATTCAATGTATTCTTTAGCCGTCGATTTGACCCAAGATGACCTGATCATTCAATAGGAGTTTTAATACAGCTATATTCTATGTATTTATTTATTTATTCAGGTATAAAAAGGCTCAAAATACATTTAAGAAAAAGTTCAAATTACAAATTAATTTAATTATTTATTATTTATTAAATTTATTTATTAAATCGATTAATTAGAATTTTAAGATAAACCTTTCAAAGTGATCTTATTGGTTCTTCACTTACTGGGATCCATTCATTAAAGCGTTCTGATGATACCTGGGCCATGAGCTTTCCATACATTTGGATGTGTACCGACTTCATTCTGGAGCAATAGAAGCTGGCAAGATATCAAAATTGTTATTAGCTTTAGAGAGTAGAAGAGTTAAAGAAGTGAAAGAAAAAATCTCAGTGAAATAAATGAAAATGGTAAGATGCCAATCATTACTGTAATTTTATGGGTAAAGAAAACAATTGTTGTATATTAATTTTATTGTTTAGTATGCCAGTGCTGTAAATAATCTTGAAAATGTCAAAAATATTCTTCTTTTTTTTTTGAGTCAAATTAAAATTTTAATAGCCCCTGAAATGAATATTTATGAAGAATAATTTGAATGTCACCTTTTATATATCCTTAAATGAAGCAGTACATGGATTAATAAATGTGGTACTCTCTCAAGTAGGCTCTGTTCTGTACTTTTACTGTATTACTAACTATGGATACACACTTGTATTTAAAATAGAATTATGTTGCCACACATGGAGATATAATTTAAATGAAGCATAGAAAGTTTCACGGTTTATTTGGTTTGCAGACATAGTATGATAAAGCAGGAGAGGAGAATGAAGGAGAGGAAATTCTACAAACAAGAGAAAATGCTCATAAAGGTATTTTATGTCATGTAGGCCTACACAATTACCCTAAGGACAGTAGTTACTGCTTTTTCTTTGGGTTCTTGCATGAAATTTGACATAAAATTCTCAAAAAATATTTCTAGAAATAGTTTTTGTCTTTCTATTCTGTTTTATTTTTTAGTGATAAATTTTATATTGATGATTTCTGGTGTAAACAGTTTTTTCAAAAATCGGTTACGTAAAGATTGTGACAAATCACTGAACTTTGAAGCATTTTTTAATTTCTCAGAATAATTGTAAATGATTACACTTCTGATGGTGACATCAAATTAAATTCAAATACCTATATTTTCAGAAAGTGAATCAAGCAGTGACAGTGACGTCCCAACAACCAGTGAGACAAAAAAATCTAAAAAAAGAAGGGCACAGATGGAAGGTAAATCTAATTTTTTTTTAAACATTGCCTTAATATGTGTACATTATCAGTTGTTTGAGCATATGTAAAACCAACTGATGTTTTATGATTTCAGTAAATTCAAGCAGTGGCAGTAACGTCCGAACAATCACTAAGGCCAAAAAATCTAAAAAAAGAAGGGCACATGTTGAAGGTAAATCTAATATTTTTTCTTTTAAATTGTATTACTATGCATATATTATGAGTTGTTTAGCATATAAAAAAAACTTTATAATTTTAATAACTGATTCAGTTGCTGAGCATAATGAGACAAGTTAAGTTGGAACTAACAATCCAATGTGAAAAGCGTGCATTTCGCTGATATTACAAGACCTCCAGTAGGTGAATAGTTCCTGAGACACCATGTTCGGAACCTTTTTTTAATAAAGCATTTTTTTTTAAATATTTTAAGTGATCCTCATGCAATAATTCCATTTGAACATGGAATGGGAAGAAGAAAATTTTCAATCAGAAACTTGAAAAATATCTAAAGGTTAAAAAAGTTCCACCAACAGAGGCCTTGAAAACTGGTTTTTTTTTCTCTTTCGTGGCGTAACCACCACCTTTATTCAAACAATCAGTACAGTACAGTACAATATTTCCTTCTATATCGATTTTTTTTTCATTACCTTCATGGCATTAATTTGCTGCATTTTATATTTTCAATCTGTACTTTATTTTTCAACTAAAACAATCTATTAACAATTCAACATATTTAGAAGAAGTGAATACTGTCCATAAAGCTAAAAAGCGAAAGTGTCTCCTATCCCTCCTGTATGTCAACTTAAGGACCAGGCTATACAGACAAATTCAGTGGTAAGTTCAGAAATGAAATGTTAGTTTATACCAATATGTATGTTTTGTTGATTCCCCACTTTAAATTGGCTTGTTCCACAAAACCAGTGCTTCCAAAAATGTGAATTTAAAATAAAAATAAATAATATATTTTATCTTGCTATCCACTTCTAAAATTACTTTTTCCGAAAACAACATTTTCATGCTGTTTGCACACAAAACTCATTATTCGCATTCACAGTGTAAGTGAGAGCCCGCATGAACCATCATTATGCTTGATGTGAAATTTTTATTCTGTTGAAAGAAATTTATTTAGCTCAAAAATACTTTTATTCTACCCTCCTCAATGTTTCCCTAAACATTATTCTGGTCATTTCAACAACAGTATTGTCTTTAATTTACTTAAAAGATACTTAAAAGATCAGCCAGATGATGGGAGAAATGTCGATGAAATGTTTGGAATTAAAGTAGGACAACTATGTAAGGTAAATAGCTTTTTATATTCATTTTAAAACCAAACCTGTTAGTTTAAATTGTTTTTAAAATTTTGACAATTTAGTTGAAATCTAGTTTGTTTAAATATGATTTTGTAGTTATGCCTAAACTTTATGAACTACATAACAAAATATACAGTGATTAAAATGAGCCTAATCTGAATATGGAAGAAAATTCTTTAAATGCTTTTACCATCCAGTGCTGCTACTCTATTGTTCACAACTTTAAATCTTGTTTTGTATTAGTAAAACAATGTATTGTAGAAATTTAGCTATACTATATAAGATATTTAAAAAATTGTTCTGGTAATAAAATTTAATGTTCATTCAAATATAGGTAAAGAAGTGTAACTCACTACTTGCAATATCCAAAATTGACTTGTTTACAAGGAAAGTGACCGGAATAACTTTTGCTGATGGTTTGGACATGGATTCCATTATGATTACAAAACTTGACAGGTTAGAGCAAATATCAAACGCTATTGAAATATCTGCTTTAGACAAAACCATTCTTGAAAGGTTTAAAATAAATGCACAAGAAGATATGATAAAGAATTTATCAACCTTAAAATACAGGATTGAGTATCACAAGGTACAATTAGGTAGTGCTGTCAAACAAGAAGTTCGTCTGGCATTGCAACTTTGACAACGAGTCTGCAACCACTTTGTACTTGGTCTTGTGACCCCAGATGTGGACAGGGTGGTCCTGAACCTAGGTAGTAGGGGGTCTGTTAAATTTTGATATAAAAATAACAATCTAGAATATTTGGATAATCTGTTAGGTACTGATTGGGATGTGTTTGTGTATGACAATGTGACTACTTATGTGGCATGTCTGTCATTTCATATCAATAAGAACTGTAATGGCAATCTTAAACATTATAATCTATATTTTACAATAAATACTTGGCCTACATATTAAAACTTCTTTGCCCAAATAGACATTTGCTAGAAGCCTGCCAATTCAAAATTTCTTAGGCCATGGATCTACTCAAATATTTCTTGATGCTTTCAATTGAAGTAGTTAGCTGTTGTGTACTTAAATTATGAAAAACAAAATTAGTATGGTGATATCAAATTTTATTCTTGTAGTCGGTTAAGTCAACAGATATTCTAAACTGTAAAGTGTACCTGTCTAAATATGTTTTCTTTAGTTTTTGATTTAAAATTGGCATTAACATTGTAGTAATACAGAAGATTACCAACCTAAAATTTGGATAGTCTTTTAGGTATTGATTTGGATGTGTTTGATATATTTTCCACCATATCATTTTTGGACATATACAGTAATTGTATAAAAAACTTGTTCTTATCACTTTTCAAATAATTCTCGGTGTTTAATCTATATTTAAATTTAAAATGTTAAAAAAAATTAGCATTGAGGATTTTCCAATTTTATTCTTTTAGTTGGTTTAGTTTATAGGATGTAATGTGTATAGTCTACATGTCCAGATTTCATGTTTTTCTTTAGTAGTTGATTTAAAATTTGTGAAACTAGTACAGGATAGGATGTAAACTGTATAGTCTACATGTCCTAATTTCATGTTTTTCTTTAGTAGTTGATATAAAATTTGTGAAGTACAGGAGGTTGCCAAAATCGTAGATTCCTGCTGTTGATATTATGTACTGTATCATCAATCATGAGCCATTTCGTCAATGCACTTAGGTTCAAAGAACATGTGCATCCAAGTGCATCATGTAGCATTGACTGCTTGTTAGAATTTTTCTTTTGGGGAATTTTCCCTTATACAGAAAATGTTGTATTCTTTCATCCATTGTTATCCCACCTCTATAGAATGCGGCGTATACTGATGTCATCATGTGATATTCCAGAGCCTGTGTGGAACTGGCTAGTGCATAATATACCAGATGGGTTTGCCCCTAAGGGCACTCAAAATGCCGAATTTTTACAGGCATTTGAATGTTTAAGCGATACTAACAGCATATCATTTGTTGCAAAGTTTTCTGGAAACCAGAAATGCAGATCGTGTGATAAAGTAACAGATATTCATTGTGTTACAAAACCAGTTCTACACTATTCTCAAAGCGTAATTGAGAAATTCCCTTGTAATTTTAATGCATCTGTTGAACAGCTTGTGAAGCAGTCATTTCGGTACAAATTGAGAGAAGAACAAGTCTTTGTGTGTCGCAAGTGCAAGACTGCCAGAACAGTTGAAGGTCAGTGTGATATGCCAGATTTTTTGGTTTTAAATTTTGGTCTTGTAGACCACCAGAATTTGCAACGGCCAGCTATTGTTTTCCTAGAAACAGCAGAAATGTACTGTAACCAGTGTACATTATCATCTGCAATCCAAATGGAACCGGGCCATTTCATTGCAATTTGTAAGCAAGACACCAAGTATGCTGTCATCAATGATATGGCAAACACAGTTACAACTTATCCAACATTTCAGGGCTCGCAGAATCGGGTGCCCGACGTCCCGCGGCAACCAAAAATTTACGTCGAACAACTCAAATTTAAAAGGGTAGGTCCCGACGGGCAACCTAAAAAATATCAGATGTTTTGCAGCGACTGAAATACAGACTATACTCTACACAATTAGTCACATAAGAACGAATGGCCAAGCCACCAAGATTGTGTTTGTGTGTGTGTAATAAACTGTGTGAAAATTCGGTAGTTTGGAATGCTATCTCTCGATCGTGACAGACAGCCAAAGATAGAGACGTACGACCGCCAACAACAAAATGCAGCAATACATGTGTTTGTGTACAATCGAGCGTATGGCAACTCATTGGAATGAGTTTCCCATGCCTGTCTAGAGCTGGCGGCATCCTTTGTACGCAAACCCAACTAGTCTAGCGCAAAAGCAGTTCTCTTGGTTCAACCATCGAGGAGATACCAACTCATTGTACTGGTTGAAGTAACAGATATATTTAAAACCGAGTTGGGAATACATTTACAATCTGATCTTGTATTATTTGTAACTTTGAATTATTAAGCTATGGTGGTAATTCAATAAAATCGGAATTCATTAAATTATTTACATTCATGTTTTTTTTTTTGTGTATTGTTATGTATGAATTTTATAAGCAATTAAATCGATTGGTTGTTTGTAATAAAGAATGCTGAATTATGTTGTCTCAGTTTTTCAATATGATTATAATAATAATAACTGATGTAATAACAGTAATAGTAGTAGCAATAATAACAATAATAAAATAATATACATCAATAATAATAATAATAACAATAACAATAATAATAATAATAATAATAAATAATAATGTTCCATAGATTTATAATAATTTTACATTTAATATTTGCATTCAATGTTACTTCGGAACATGTTCGAATAATGCATACAATAATAAGTAATAATAATATAATAATATAAATATGATTAAATAATTTAACTGTACAGTTTACAGTGCAAGGATCATCCGAGGATCGTATGGTAGGTATTAATTGTTTATATGATGTACAATATATTATACAGTAGGGCCCTTAGATTTAGCTGCATATGATTCCATTAAATCAGCATATAGCCTACGGACAATAGAAAAGCAAAACCCCGAGTATCAAAAACATTTTAGATTTCCTCCCTGGATGAATAATTTACCAACGATCTACGTAGACTTGCAATCTATGCCTTGATTTAACCTACTGAGCACTGCTCTCAAAGTACACGTGCTCCAGCTAACTTTATTTTCTTTGTTACACGCATGCATAGTACTTCATTCATGCACCAAGCACTGGTCATGATCTCATCACAGTCGTAAGTTGTTGTTAATTGTTGCTAACTTTAGGCATACATTTCAATCATCACACCCCGCAATGTAGGCAATAAATCGAAGGTCCATTAGTGTACAGTATTAATTAAGTACTTAAAATAATTATTGAATATTCTATTAATGTGGAAATTCCCATCTCAATCCCGATCGTAGGCTATTAATTTGACACTGACATTAAACTACGCTTGATGATTGCTACAATTTGACAGCGGTGTATCGCGAAGAAAACTTCACACTTCTTCTCCAAAACCCTATCTGGATGAAATGAATGCTTATCTTCGAAGATGCCAAAAGTTTTTGTAGGCACCGCTGATACTGCTAAACAGGAGATAAACTCTGCATATTTTCTTGGTCTAGGCCTAGTCACTTTTATTTTGATTTTCATTGCGAACACTTCACACTGCTGTCCTTTCTATGATAACATGAGTTTCTAAAATGTTTCAAGCCGTCGTCAACTTACGATACCGATAACCATAATCCTTCGAAAACTGGAAAAATATTGAAAGATGTTCAGTAAGGTAATTATGTTCTTGTTCTCGAGCCTGGCCTATATGCAGACAAGTCATATTGCTATCCCTTTAGGCAGTTTTATATTGTTTGATCATGCTTTTAAACGTCTGACTTTTAATAATTACTAAACGGGCAACATACAGCTGTTTGTTTCTTAGTGTATTACAGCGTATAGGCCCCTCTGAATTTCTCAACACAGTGTATGGTATGATGTTATATCAAATAGATAACAACATTCATCAAACAGTATACAGTTCCAATCAGATAAGACTACAGTACTCTCAATTGATTCATGCCTATAATATGGCCTGAATTGCCACCAGATACTTATATCCCTCAAGTAGTAACAAGGCTTCATCCTGATTTACAATAGCTGCCTTAACTAATTCCACCACTCAATGTTACACATCTTACTAATTTCTCAATGGTTATTTCTCTATTAAAAATACTTAATATATTATTGTTACATGGGAGAACATGACCTCGACCAGGAAGCACTTCTTAATTCTTGATTTCAGCCAGGAAGCACTTCTTAATTCTTGATTTCAGCTGATGCAGAATGAAGCAAAATTTGCTTTGGCTCAACTTAATTGATTCAATTTGTGTAGTAAACCATTGTTCTTGGTAGAGAGTAGTAAATAAGTTGCACATCCTTAAATTTCTTTAAGCTGTTTACGCTTAATGACACAAAAATACTCTATGTTCTCACAACATGTATCACAAAAATATGCCTGAAACCGGCTCAGATTTATCATTTGATAAACTCTGTCCAACGCCATACTTGCAAGTGGACGTGTGTTGTTTACTACTTACATTGGACAAATGGAATAGAAGGTAGTTTGTGATTGGCTGAGGGCCTTGCAGCTAAGCCAAACTTCATTGTTAGTCGTCTTCTGATTGGCCTTATGTAACCCGTACGTACGCCTTATTAAGGCGTACGTACGCCTTAGTAAGGCGTACGTACATCTTATTAAGGCGTACGTACGGGTTACATAAGGCGTACGTAAGGGTTAGGAAAATAAAATAAAAATTCATCATGTCCCTTAAACAGCTTCGTAGAATCGTTTGATCACACTACTCTAAATACCCAATATCATTAGAATCCGCCAACCCCCATCTGAGACCCCCTGGTCCTTAAAAAAAACTACACTTAATTACTCTCAATTATTACAAAATCAAATTGCATTCGATTACAACAGTTTCCACAGGCTCTGATTGGCTAAGTTTCCTTAAAATTAGCCAAATTTTTTTTCTTCAGAATAAGATATATCTTGCTTGATTTAAAAAAAAAAAATATTGTTGAAATTTTAGAAGCCAATGTTTGCCTTGCACATTATAATGTATTTTTAATTTGTTTGCTTTCACAGATGATTCCTAAGGATTAATCCTGACAAAGGATTGAAAGGAAGCCTTAAAAGTAAAAAAAAAAAAAAAACTCAGGTTGATGCAAAAGTTTTAACCTTGATAAACAGCATTGCAAATCACGAATGGACAATGGAATAAGAAAATTAGCAAAATCTGAACCCAAAAAAGCATACAAAAACAAAGCTTTTTGTGCCAAATTCAGTTTAAATTTGATTTAAAGATAGATCAATTTGTTGTTCATGTGTGCATAGTTTTTAAAGATTTCCAAAAAAAAATATATTATGTTTAATAACATTTTGCTTTCGTATTTTAGGATCCAAATGAAGCCTTAAAAGTAACAAAAAAAACTCAAGTTGTTGCAAAAGATTTAATCTTGATAAACAGCATCACGAATGGACAATGGAATAAGAAAATTAGCAAAATCTGAACCCGACAAAGCATACAAAAACAAAGCTTTTTGTGCCAAATTCAGTTAAAATTGGATTTATAGATAGATCAGTTTGCTGTTCATGTGTGCATAGTTTTTAAGGATTTGCAAAATAAAATACAGTCGAGTTCGACTAAGTCGAATCTAATGGGACTGGCATAAAAAGTTCTAGTTAGGCCAAATAAAAAAAAAAACTTGGTTAGCGTCCCCGCCCGACCCTCGATTTTCACCCGACCAACATTTTTTTTTTTTTTTTATTTCACATTTCTGACAAAAAATAGCCCCAAAATCCCTAAAATATATGAACGAAAAAAATTCTTGGTTGACATTCATTTATATTTTCGCCTGTATATTGAGCCGAAGACTTTATAAAATACTAGCCTTCCTAGGCCTACAGTACCTATTCTAAGCTAAGCCTACTACGCCGGGGAATACCGCGCCAGGCTTAGGTCTACGTCTTGTTTTGCTCACCGTCCTCACGAGTTTCGCCGTGCCGTAAATTTATAAAAAATATTGCTTCGATTCGTACAAGTGTTCCTAGCTTGTGAACATGTAAACGCGAAATCATTCCATCACAATTGAACGTACCTACCGTTGTGTTTGTGTTCACGCGTTGTATTCACATAGAAACGCGAAGTCATTTCGTGAGTCACCATCGAAACGCCGTGCATGGGCTTGACCTAGGTCAACATTCCATAATATACATCGTTCGGACAACAAGCGTTCCTAATTCGTGTACATGCGAACGCAAAGCCGTATCACTCATACAATAGAACGCATCTTTTTGCTTGTGTTGACGGGTTTCTTTCAAGTAGGAACGCGGTATCATTTCGTGTACGACTGGGAGCAGGATAGCTGTGAACACGCTTGTTTGCTTTCTTTTTGTCTATTGAAATTGTTTGGTACGGTCTATTTACACCTGTCTCTTATACACATCTAGATGTGTATAAGAGACAGATTTCATGGTGAGACCTCACATTTGTATTTTACTGTACATGGTGATATCCATGGTGAGCTGACTTCGGGGAAACAATCAACCACTGCTAAGCCCCACCCATGGATATTATTGCTATGGACCCACAAAATAATAGCGTAAATGTACGTAAACACATGCAATTGTGGGACATGAGTTGAAGCACCCATCAAAATCAAAACTTAAGAATGCCATAATAGATTGGCTAACAAAGGAAGGACTTGGTTGGTCTAAAGATGCTGTTGTGGATTGTGGTTGGCCTTTTATTAACACACTTGGAGATGCCCTATGGTATATTGACAGGAATCAGGCAACCTTAAAAAGCAGAGGATACCCTGTCCCAGATGTTTTTATGCAGTTTGCTGGATTTCGTATTCCAGAAAAGTTAAAGAAACGCAAAATCACTGCCGAGTTTTTGAGTGAGGAGGAACTACGTTCCCATGGAAAAGCCTTATTCAACCTGCTTCAGGCTGCCTATTTCCAGAAAGAGATTTGGAAGGATGTAAATGATGCTGTTGTTGCCTTATCAAATTCGTTGATGAAGTATAGTGCATATCTGGAATCTCAATCAAATTTGGTCTGGTCGCCAATAAAACTGTACTAAGACAGGCATATCGGACTTTAACAGGTAACTATTTGTTGCTTGATAGCATTTTTTTATTTTTGAGAATTTTTATTGATGTCTTCAAAATACTACTAAAAAGGTCATCAGATGTATCTCTTACTCTATACTTGTACCACCGTGTTGGAAATATTTCTACAGTACATTCTTGACACAATGGAAATGTATCAATGCTCACATTTTTGCAATCAAACTTAACAAGTGTGTTGTATCCCACTCTTCATTTTTTATTCCCCACCCCCCCCTTTCTTCTATTATTAATTTCTCCTTATTGTTATTAAAAGCTGTTAAAATTTTTGTTTCAGGTGATTGTTCAGCAGCAAATACCATGGAAGAGGCTGAAGTAGATAAGCGACTTGAGCAAGTATTGGATGAACAGGATCCAGAATTGTTGTGGGACATGAGGAAGCAAAATTCAGGACGTCATACAGAGTACGATGAATTTTTAAATAGATGTAAAGAATATATAGCAAGCTCTGTAGAAACGGCAGTAGATGAAAGGCGGCATGATTCGATTGCTGATGATGAGGTAATAGTCCACCTGGCTACCGCTCTAAGTGTACGGGACCTCCATGAACAGGTGAGCAGTAGATGTCCTGAAGGTACCAAAATTCCCGGCATTCAGTGGCTAAGGATGCAGTTCTGGCCACGACGACCAACAGCCAAAACAGCAGCTCGATACACTGGCAAGCTTAAAGTAAAGTACATGGTCCAGGCAAGACAATTTCGTGCTGACCATGTTGATTGTCATTATGCATCAGCACTTTTTAGGTATGAAAAGGAATGTGCGATCATGTTTCGAGATCATGTTACGCTGGTCAGCATGGATGACAAGCATACAATTAAAGTCGGCGAACCAGGATGCCCAGTGGCTGCAGCAGAAAGGGGGAAACAAGTCCTTGTTGCAATGGGTAAAAAACTGGCTGTTGCAGATCACGATTTCACTCGATTAAGTTTGACTCCAAGTGTCAACCTTTTCATTGATGTGCCAGAGAAAATTGATGAAAGTTTTCATCGAGGACAAGTGTGCATATCATTCAAGGAGAATGCATTTCAGCCTTCGACTCCTGTTCGACATGTGACTGAACTACACAGTGAGCTTACCGACATGAACCTAGATGGCAAGCCCATTTTGATGTTGTATACGGATGGTGGACCAGATCATCGAGTCACGTACATGTCTGTCCAGTTATCGATAATCTCACTATTCCTGTCATTGGATTTGGACTATGTGTGTGCAGTCAGGACGCCACCGAAGCATAGCTGGAAAAATCCTGTCGAGAGGATAATGTCCATAATCAACCTTGGTCTGCAGGGAGTTGGAATTATGAGAAAGGAGATAGAAAATGAGAATAAGTTGACGAGTTGTGGGGGTCTGAAAAGTGTCAGAGAGATGGCTGAAAAGGTACCAGAATTGAAAGATGAGGTTCTTGGAGCAGTCCAACCAAGCATCAAGTTGTTGAGAAATCTTATGGAAAGATTAAAGCTCAAAGATCTCCGGTTCAAGACGTACGATCCGGCAAGTGATGACGCCATTGATGATATGTGGAGAAAGATTCTTCAGGTAAAGTGTACACATTTTGTTTCCAACAACAATATCCTGTGTCAAGTTTTCCTCATTTAAAATCTTATTTTCAGTTCTAATTGCAATTTTGTCAACAGTGTCATAATCATACAGGGTTGAATTTCTTTTAAATTTGACTATCATTTAATTTCGTCTCTTATACACATCTAGATGTGTATAAGAGACAGGCACCAACCGATCGACTGTCTCTTATACACATCTAGATGTGTATAAGAGACAGAGTCAGATGTCTGTTAATGACTGATTATTTGCATTTATCAGGCCATTTATATTTCAGTATGATTTATTTATTTTTTGGCACATCAGTCAAGTAGTGTAAATAATCAAATCACGTTGTAATCGCTTTCACATCACAACACATAACATATAAGACCACAATTCGCCGGGGAGAAAAATTGTGGCCTATGTGTTTTCTACAATATTAGACTCTAAAATTGATTAAATTAATAAGCCTGTTTGAAAGCCCTAAATTTTCATATTTTTCGTGGGCTTTTTCCCCCTGGAACACTTTCGAGAGATTTTGAGCGACACCCGACCACGCCCACTTTTTTATCGGTGACATCGGCAATTAGTTGCAAAAATAATTAGACAGACAAGAAAAGGGGATGGGGAAAATGAAAGGTATATATTTTATATTATCATAATAGACGCCATTTTCGTCATATCGTATGTACAGTTCGCCCTCCGATTCAAGACCACCTTTTTGAGACCTGAAAATCTGTGGTCTCAAAAGTTGTAGAAATATAAATTTCAGAGATTTTTTTTGTTATTTTGAGACTACTGTAGTTGTTTTGATACAACAACAACAAAAAAGTGCCCCCCTTAATAGGTGTTAAATTGTATTGTATTGATTGTATTGCACACTCAGAAAGTGTCCCCATCCCCTTAATAGGGGTGTCCTCTTAATAAGGGTTGGCTGTACGTGCTAAAAGATATAAGCCTATTGCCCCACGTTTTACGGAAAAGTGTCCCCTTATCAGGGGTGTCCCCTGAATAGGGGTGTCCCAAAGGAGGGGGGTTCTACTGTATATCATCATGAGTGGATTTCCCGTACGATTTAGTCTACAGGAGCTCAAGTCATATGTTAAAACAATAGGCCTACCTATAGTATTAAATACATTAATTATAATAAGAAACTGAAACGAATCTTTTGTACTAGTTCTATATTACATTCAAATTAAATTATATTAAATTAAATTACATTAACTAAGTATATAACAATAATTAAAACGTAGACATAATATTTACTACAATAATAAGATTAACATTTTCAATCTTATAATAAATTTTATACAGCCGGTGTTATGTATCTGTCTCTTATACACATCTAGATGTGTATAAGAGACAGCAGTAAAGTAGACTATGTTTTCTTAATTTTTTTATGACTGAATAACAAAAATAACCATATGAAGATAAAGAACAGTTGATTTTATTAATGTTTTAAGATTCATATCTGTAAATGTATACATGTGCTGCGACAACAAATTTTAGTCAAATGATTTTAACGTTTAAATACTTTTAAGCTATAATACCTTGTTTCATTTATTTTCTCACCTTGAGTTCTTGAGAAAGAACATACAACAGAATTGAATGGTTATTAAATACAGTATTTCCTGTTGAAGTAATTGACTAAAGTCTTTTTCGTTGTTTGTAGTGTCCGTGTGTGTCCGTACTGCTAGATTTAAAGAAATAAAAAAAAAAAAGAAAAAAAAAAAAGTCACCTACCTACCGAGAAATTTTTTTGGGCCCGGACGCTAACCAAGTGTTTTTTTTTATTTGGCCTTATACAGATTTCGACTTGCACATTTTTGAAAAAAAAAAATCAACATAGAACAATACTATGTGTACTCAATGCCCACAAAATCGAATTTCACGCAAAACCGAACATTTTCTTAAGTCCCAAAGTCATTCCTATTCTTCTCTTAATAAAATACATTTCGAAAACATGAACTCCATATTCTAAATCTCGGACAATTTGTCCAATTCAGGACGGTAACACTCACTCGAAAAACCAGACGATAGTTTAATAGATATCTTTTAACGACAAGCATACCAGACGCTATGAAAACGAGATGCTTAGCTGTACTCGCACTGTCATGGAGATTATCTGTTGATTAATACGACACACAAGTAGACGTTTTGTTGGTTAATTATGAAGTGGAATTTACGCATTCCAATGTTTTAATAAGCGTATATTCTTGCTTTTAATCCTTAAAAACCATTTGGAATCAACCTGCAATAAAGACGGAACTCAACAAAGCAAGTTTCTACTGGTTACTCTTTTCAGTAGACGTCTAATTCAAATTTGTTAGGTTCGTCGGTGTAAATTTCAAATGCACCTCATTCATTCTTTAAACTCAATACGCTTTTCAAAACATGTTGCTAATTTAATTACGGAGGAAATTTGTAGAGAATAAAATATAATGTTAGGTTTATTTAGATTTGACTCTAAAATATACCATGAGGGTTTCTTATTTGTTTTTTGTTTTGTTTTATAAATTTGTTTTTAACAATTAAAACATTCTTGATTAATACACCTAGCTTGTTACTGTCACGCACTATGAAACTTTGGGCGATCTGACGTCATCACAGCCGAAGCACATGTCTGTCTGCAAAACACCCCACTAAAATGGACCAATTGGCGGGCAGGCAGAGTTTTTGGGGGCGCGACCTGTTCTGTTTACAACTAGACTGCCGACCAGCAAGTGGCATTCCCAGCGAAGAAAAACATAATCAGACCTAAAGAAATGCACGCAAAAACAATATAAAAGTCGCATCAGTTTTATTGGTAATGATTAAATTTGCTGAGCAGTACAGCAAAACAACAGGTACTGTACGTATTATTAAATAGGCCTTATGTGTGAAATTTGCGTAGGCTAGGCAGTCAAAAGAATCCAGGGCTTTGATAAATTAATTAAATAGCTAGGCCATGACTACAACAATCTTGTTCGAAATGGGTTCAATACAAGTTTTACAAACTGAACTGAACAAAAAACTGAACATTGGAGCCGGTCCAGAGGGGTGTCTGTATTGTGAGAGTAGACTGCAACTTACGAAATATGATCATGTGAGCCAAGTTATACAGCGCGCTGTCTGAGATGTTAGTTTTGACATGGCTAACTTGTTGCCGTACAACAAGGATTGAACTTCGTATTTTCCCACGGCTGTGTATTTTTCCCACGTGCGCTACTAAATTTGGAACTTCAACTTGTGTGGTTAAAATTTCTTTAAAATCGGCCTAGCTGGACCGAAAAATTCCGTCGATATAGCCAAAATTCGACTTATAAAAATTCGAATTAAACAAACAATTTACACAGTAATACATAGGAAAGAATTGAGACTTTTTTAAAAATTCGACTGACACGAATTTTCGACTTAAATAGAGTCGACTTTGGCGGACTCGACTGTATATTATGTTTAATAACACATTGCTTTTGTATTTTATCTTTTTCAGGCCTATTTTGTTTACTGACTGACTTACAACTTTTTGTTTTGGCACTGCAGATAAAACACTGCAAGACAAGACGCCAGTTTTTTTTTTAGTTGCCACCCAATTTTTGCTAATATAAACCAAACAAATTTACTGGTAACATTTATATATTTACTGTTAAAAACCGTCAAAATTACGGGCACCAATTACATATTTACGGTTCATGGCGTAAGAATGTACGAACTGCTTATAATTACTACAGGTAAAACTGTAAATTTTGATTGTGATGCCCATAAAAATTACAGGAGCAATCTTGCTGTTTACGGCTCAAACCGTAAAAATTACGGGATCCTGTAGTATTTTGGCCCTAAATTTTATGGGGTTTTTTTTGGCATCCTGGCTGCCTTTACTTTTCCCGTAAATTTTACAGGCAATGTTTTACAGTGTAGTTATCTAGGGAAGACTTCCTTCTGATACCTTAAAGGAAACACTACTTCTCACAACCCTACTTATATAAATTGTATATATCATGCAGTAGAATAGTAGCATTGAATAAACGCTTTGCATTATAACCAGAAGAGATGTAGTCAGTTCAGTTATTGAAAGTAAACCATCTCGCTTGTCATATCACTACAATATTACATAGCGAAGATCCAGTCTTTGCATCCGGAACATAACATTGGAATCGGGAACACCAGCTTGAGCATTACATGGCGGACTGCCCTACATAATATTACAGCAGACCATAAAAACAACCATTGTATTCAGAACAAGACTTGCACTACAGGATCAAGACTTCCTACTGTATAATCTCCCCAACCCAATTTGTCTTTTGTTTTTTGTTTTTGTTTTTTAAAGCGGTATTAGAAATTTATTTGTATGATAAATGTGCTTTGTAACCGTGAGGAAAAGGTGGTATATAAATGACCATTATAATTTGTAATATTAAATACTCAAGAACTTTAAAAAAAAAATCACAAGGAATTTGTTTACGAATAATCTTGGATAAAATGTAATCAATAATTAAATACAAACAATACAGGAAATACTAATTTAGTAAAGTACTGTAGAGCTAAACAATTTTGCTCCTTAATCGATAAATAATTTTGCTTTGAGAAAATGTAAAAGAAATTTTCTATACTTTGGCAGCGATAGGAATTGAACCGGAGACCTAGAGACCTCCACGGTTCAACACACACACTGTGGCTACCACCTGATTAGGTGACTGAGCTAAGCTGCTCAATTAATACAGTATTATTGAATGAAATGAAATATTTTGGGTTATTTGTACTATTCATGAATGTATGGTTCATCAAGTATCAGATTGTTCCTTCATTATAAACTGTTAAGTAAAAAAATGCACTGATATATTTTTCTTTTTTAGACATTTTGTTTGCTAGCGACCGTTGGTGTGCTTTTGCTTGTAATAAAGTCATTTATAGGCTGTATTTAGGTGATGCATGAGGTGTACATCTCCCTTACTGTTGTTTGCACAGTGTGTGACCTTCTTAATTAACTGCGTAAACAATCAATAAGTGATAAAATTCTTGATACAGTACTAGCCTTGTTCCAAAGTGAAAGTTACACTGGTGAATTCGTAGTTATCGAA